ACCTTACCACAGGTCCACTGAGATCTCAGGACCTTTGTCCTGGCAGCATTGCCAAGCCAGCCCCATCCGCATTCTGCCTGTCTACCCAGAGCCGGGAGAGACCTGAAGTACATTCTGACCCAACCCAAGCACTCAAGGGTCCAGGCTAAGTAAGGCTGAACCCTGACCTTTACTTTCTTGAAGACAAGCAGCCCAGGGATGAGAATGCAGCAGGGAACCCAGGACATAGCAATCACTTCCTGAAGCCCAGGGCTGTCCTGATCCCCTTTGTGACAGTGGGCGTTTGCACATCATACAGATGGAGACCTGTGCCTGTCTTTCTCCATTGTCTCACAACCCCTAATTCTCCACGAGCCTTACCTATGAGTTCCCAGATATGCTGAGTTTACATGTCTGCTTTTCTTTTTCCAGGCTTGTTTTTCTTTGCTATTAGATGTATAACATTTTTTGGTCAGGTCTTTTTATTCCATGAACTTGCTATAAATTATGGGAGATGAATACATTTTATAGGTGGGAAAACAAGTTGTTCCAAGACCCTCTGCTTCTGAGAGCCCATGGGGTCCATGCTGACATGAAGATGCATAAAACCAGTGGGCTTCAGACTCTGAAATTTACCTCATGTTGTCCAGGAATCAATGAGAGCAAGAGGTGACTTTTAAAAATTTTTTTGAAGATCAGTCATGGAAGAATACTTCAACTAAGATTTTCCAGGTCCCTGTAGTTCGTCAATTATCAAACTTTTTGGTTTTAGGACTCTTCTTTTAAAGAATCTCAAAGAGCTTTTGTCTCTGTGGATTATATCTGTCAATATTTAGCATATTATAAATTAGTTGTGAGAAATTAAAAATGTGGAATTAATTCCTGTAAATTGACAATAAATCTCTTATATATTGCAACAGTATAACAATTATAACAATATAACAATAAGTCCCTTATGCATTATAACAATATAACCACAATAAAGTACTGGTAATTATGTGATGTATGATATGATGGAGGTATTAGCTAACACTACAGTAATAATCATATAGCAATATCTAAGTGCATTAAACCAACACCTTAAACTTACACAATGTTACAGGTCAATTATATCTCAATAAAAAAAGAGAAAAGAAAAAACCAATAAATAGAAAAAACATGGGGCGGGGTGACATAATCATATCAGAGTTTCGAGACTGACAAGCATGTCCTCCTGTGCCTCCCTCTCCGCCACAGGCCCCACCATGAGGCCCCAGCCCCGCCGGAGCCCGCGCGCTCCCCGGGCCCTGGGCGCACCGTGCTAGCCCCCAGCCGGGGTGTGGAGAGGCGCGGTGGCCATGGCCAGCCACGTGGACCTGCTGACGGAGCTGCAGCTGCTGGAGAAGGTGCCCACGCTGGAGCGGCTGCGGGCCGCCCAGAAGCGCCGGGCTCAGCAGTTGAAGAAGTGGGCCCAGTATGAGCAGGACCTGCAGCACCGCAAGCGCAAGCACGAGCGGAAGCGCAGCACTGGCGGCCGGAGAAAGAAGGTGGCCTTCGAGGCCAGTGTGGCCCTGCTGGAGGCCTCCCTGAGGAATGACGCCGAGGAAGGTAGGCCACCTTGATCCTTGCGGGCTGGTGGCCCCCTGGCCTGAGTGCCTCCGGTTCTGGGTTTGGCCTCCAGGTTCTATGCGGTGGAGGTGCGGGCTGGGGGCCTCTGGCCCTCTCCCAAGTTCGGGCAGCCTTACATGTCTGGGGAGGGCTATGAATTTATCTTAGACTTTTTTTTTGGTATATAATGAGATAAAATCGAGTAATAATATAATAATATATAATAATAAAATAAAACAATCACTTATCCAGTGGTTACTTAATATAAAGTGGAGTATAATACAAATGTGTTATAAATATATAACTTGTTATATTTATATGTATATTAAGATAGTCATAAATATATATATAAGGTGTCCGTAAAGTCTGGAAATGTAGACAAATATGCACAACGTTGTCTAGGACATTTTCCCTTATTTTTAATATAAACACATATACATGCTCATATAACTTATTTGCAGATTTTATATTTTATTTATTTATATTTTATTTTACTTGTTATATTTTATTTAAGTATATTATTATGATAAGTCCCATGATCCAGCTCTCACAAAACCCAAGAGTTGGGTATAAAATACCCATTGTACAGATGAGGAAACCGAGATCCAGAGGTTCAGAATCTTGACCCAGGTGGCAGAGACGGGATCAGAACTCCATGGTTCACGCTCTTGTCACTGGCCTCATGGCCTTGTAGGTGTTCTTCTCATCAAAAGGATGAATGGAAGATCCATGATTTGACCGAAGCCCCGTTCTCTCAGCATGCTTTCAGGGTCACCCCTGCTCATTGTGCAGCTGGGATTTGTGCGTGGGTCCCGTGTTCACCCTCAGCAGCCTCTGGTCCCTCTCTGTGTATGAATCCTTTCTGGCTGTCCCTGGAGGGGCCCAGCCGTGTTTCCTGGGTCCCCCTGGACTCCTGCCTTCGCATGACTTCCAGGCACTTGGTGCTAAAGCAGTCAGTGAAAGAACTGAGACGTGGTGGCACTGACCACACTAGAGAGTGTTGGGTTTTATGCCTGTTATTCCTCAGATTCTAGAACCCTCGGAGAAGCACAGCTCTATTTCTGTCCTGGTTACACCCTTGGAAATGAGCAGAGAGGCGTTCTGGAACCACTCAGCTGGAAAGAGCTCAGCTAAGAGCCTGGGGTGAGCAGCCCCCTCGGGAAAGATATGAACTCTCAGGCTCAGGGGACACGGCCCTATGAAGCTCCTTCCCACGTGTCATTTGCCGAGTGACGTGACAAACCTATCCCACTCAGTGGGTGGCACACTGTGATGTCTAATTCTTGTCGTGGGTGATAGTTCATAAGCTCTTCTTTCACCTCACATCTTTACTCCCTTCCTTCCTGACAAAGTCCCCTTTCTCCCTCCCTGAAGGGTTTTGCAGAGTCTCTGCGAGCTGGCTGTGCTGCTTTAGAGGGTCCATGCCTCCCCGAGCCCACTGCCCAGGCCCCATGCCCTAGTGTACTCCCACGGGTACTGGTTAGAGCACCAGGGGCCCTTCAGCCCTGTGTGTGGCCTTGAGCAGCTGATTTCACCTCTTTGGGTCCAGTTCCTTAATCTGCAAAGTGGGGGTCTGAACCTTGCCCTCGGTGGAGGGTGGCAAGAATTAGACAAGATCCTGCATTTGGCAGCTCTTTGAAAATTGACCCTGAACCCTGCACCAGCATGGTGATCATTGTATAACATACTTTTTCTCTGTATTTTTTTTTTTTTATAAGACTTTAATGTTTTTCTTAAACCCAAATATACGCAAACACATTCTTCTCATAAAAATCAAACACAGAAGTATATAAAGTCTTACCCCTCCCTCCTTTCCTTCTGTTCTTCTGTAATTAGTACTCCGATTGTTTGATGTGTTTCCTTCCAGTTTTTTCATTTACCTATATATTTGTGGACTTGGAGAAATAGAGCGCTAATTGTTTTTGTTTGTTTGTAAGTGATAACATCCTGGATACATTATTCTATAATTTTTTTTTATCACCCAACGATATGTCTTAAAGGTGTTTTCATGCCAGTACATTTATAGTGGAATAATAGATCTGCATCTTTCCTTTTAACTGCTGCATAGTATTCTGTAGTATGGATTCACAAGAATGTTTGAAATGGTTCCTTACTGATGGGCCTGTAAGTTTTTCAGTAGTTTTGCTTTAGCTGAAATGAACATTTTATGCACCCATATAAATGTCTTATCTAGGACAGATGTGGAAGAATGCAAAAGATGGATTCAAAGGTATGTGTATTAAATTTCAGTGAGAAAAGTGCCAGATTCCACTGACGGATCTCTTGGCTCTAGGGACAGCCCAGTGAGGGTGGAGGACCAGAGCACTGTGCACTGTGGCAGGTTATGGGGGTAGGGTAAGAGGTACCCTGGGGGTCCACGGATGGCTGGGTTTCGGGGGTGTGACGTGAAGCTTCCATCAGTCAACAAGCTCTCTCTCTCGGCTACGCTCAGCTTCCTGGCAGCATGACAGAGCCCACTGCTCCCAGCTGGCTGGGATGGCTTCTGTGTGCTGGTGGAGCTGGTGTTGGGGAGGCTGCTGGGGCGTTAGCTCACAGCGGGTTGGGAATGTGGGGTGGCAGCTCCCCCGCTCTCATGAGCTCACAGCAGTGGCTGAGTCAACCTCCTCCACCTACCAGGACAGTGTGAGTCGTTCCATAGAAAGGCAGCGCTGGGGAACTTACTGGATTTTCTTCTCTCACTCTGCATTGCCTTCAGGCGAAAGCCCGGGCACCGGGGACCCCCGTCCAGCCTCAGACTTGCCCGAGCCCCAACCTCATGTTCCCACTACGCATTTTTTAAAAAACGGCTTTAATTTACATATCATAAAATTTGCCCATTTTAAATATACCTTTCAATGATTTTCAGTAAATTTACAGAGTCGCACATCCATCACCACAACCCAGTTTTATAACATTTCATCAGCCCCCAAGGAAACTTTGTGACCGTTTGTAGTCACTCCTGGTTCCCACCCCCACCTCCAGGCAGTCGCTCATCTATTTTCTGCCTAAATATATTTGCTTTTCTGGACATTTCATTGCATGGACTCATACCATATGTGATCTTTCATGATGACTTCTTTCATTGAGAATGTTTTCAGGCTACATCCAGGTTGTGACATATACCAAGACTTCATTCCTTTTCATAGCCCTATCGTATCCCAGTATATGGCTAGACCACCTTTTGTTTATTCATTTAGCAATTGGTGAACACTTAGATTATTTCCCTTTTGGGTTATGATGAATAATGCTGCTGAGAACATTTATGTGCAACTCTTTCTGTAGACATACGTTTTCATGTCTCTTGGGTAGTTACCCAGGAATGGCATTGCTAGGTCATGTGGTAAATTTATGTTTAACTTTTTAAAAAACTTGCGAAACTCTTTTCCAAAATAACTTCATCCTTTTACATTTTCAAACCCCGTTTTGCAGATGAGGTCGTTGAAGCTCGCAGAGGCTATGTCACTCGCCAAGGTCTCACAGGTTTTCAGTGTCAGACTTAGGACGTGAAGGCAGATCAGTTGTCTCTGAAGCCCATGCTTTTAACTACCAGATGGTCATGGCACCTCCTGCGTTTGATTTTCCCTAGAAAACAAGAGAACCACTCACTCTTGGTTCTGATCTGTGTTACTTTGGGCCTTAAGGACCCTGGAGTTTCTGCTGGCCTCTTGGGTCTTTTGTATTGGGGGTCTCTGGATAAGCTCTTTCTCCCTAGCTGAAACTTCTTTCTGAGGCCACGTGGGTTCAGGCTTCCTTGAAACCACTGAACATTTGTTAACGTGTCATGGCTTCTGTTCTCTCAGAATATGTAGGGTTTTCTTTATGGAAACTCTATTCACATTCGAAAGTTTGAGTGATTCTTCTGTAGCCTAAATTTAGCTCTTCAACTGTTATTCTCATGGTAAAGGTTTTCAAACTTTTTTTTAAGCAGTGGAAACTTTTCTTTAAATGACATATTATGCAGAAACCCAATATGTAAAAGAGATATAAGAGCTATTCTGGCCGAAGTTGGCTGGGGGTGAGGGGGGAGGGTTCTGGAAGCTGGTCCACCCCATGCCTTTCCCACCCCTGCCCCTGCAAACCTCTCCCTGTCTCCCCGACCCCAGGCACACTGGCGGACACCTGGGTTCTGCACGGCACCCCGAAACCATTGATTCATCTAAAGGAAACACAGCTCTGACTTTCACTTTTGATGATTTTGAAAAAGGAATTTTCTTTCCTTTTAATTACAAAAATAATGCATTCTTGTAGAAAGTCTTAAAAGCACAGAAAAAAAGAAACATTAAGAGGAGAATAAAATCACGCACACTCCCACTGAACAGCAGCAACCATTGATAATATTTTGGTATTGTTTTATCAGCCAGGGTTCTGATGGTAAACAAATGGTGTTCTCACATGGGGTAATTCAAGGAAAGTTTAATAAAGAGGAAATTTGCAAAGGGTTTGGGAAAATAGTCTTCAATTTTTTTTTTTTGTCTCAGAACCCTTTTATATTCTTAGAAACTGACAACCCCCAAGAGCTTTTGTTTAATTGGGTTCTATCTATTAATATTTACCATATTAGAAATTAAAACAGGAATTAAAATAAATGAAATAAAATACATAAAATAGATATTATTCATGAAAATATAACATGAAATTCATTATCTGTCGTATTAGTTTACTATTGCTGCTTAGCAGATGAGCTCAAATTTTAGAAGCTAAAAACAATGAACATTTGCCATTTCACACGATTTCAGTGGGTCAAGAATCCAGGAGTGGCTTAGCTGGGTGGTTCTAGCTCAGGATCTCTCAGAGATTATCACCACCTCAAGGTTTAACTGGGACTGGAGGATCTGTTTCCAAGATGGCTCGCTCACATAGCTCTTGGCAGGAGGTCTCAGTTTCCTGTCTTCTCAGCTCCTTCATAGGGCTGCTTGAGTGGCCTCTCAACATGGCAACTGGCTTCCTTCAGAGTGAGTGATCTGTACTTATGAACAAGGAGAAAATGACAATGCTTTTTA